AACAAAACTAATATTACGGTTTGTTATAATATATACACACTCACATTCAGAGGTGCACCACCACCCGGTCTCCCCCAAGGATGATAGCTTCTTAGTGCTTCAAGATCCTGAAAGTTTTTGAGAGACCAAAATAATGCCAATACTATTAATGAGACTGGAGGCAATAATCATGATTACAGACCCACGTTCATCACTTAACTTGTGGAAAGGAAAGCGAGTTGAAAGGAGTCCAGTTTCCCGGCTGAGATGCCCCTGATAAAATCAGAGGGGGCAGCTAATCGACAGTTGCCCCTGATACCTCGAAAATTTGTGGCTTTGTACCACAGGAACACAAAGATTAGGATGCGTTTTGACAAATGCGATTAAAACAAAAGTGAATGTTAAGGGTGCACTTTTCAAGAGAATCCAACATTAAACTAGATCCTTGAGATTCTTTTGTTCTGTTTAGTGACAAAAGAAACAAAAATCAAAAAATAGATTTTTGAACATGCCAGCATATTAGCGCGGGCCAAGACCATCTGTGGTTGTTGGTCAATAATATAATCAATGATTTTATGTACTTTTCTCTTTTCCTCCTGTATTGCTTGCCGCTGCCTTGCTTTCTCTTCATAATGTCTTGCTAAAAACTCATCTGAAAGAGTAATTTAATATGCATCAATTTTTTTTAAAAACATGAATCCAACTCTGAGTCAATTATTAATACCTTGTGTTTGTGCTAAAGTTTGGTTCTTGAGGGCATCTTTTTCACTGAAATTGTAAATTAAAGTTTGACCAATTAATTAAAATAATTATTTTATTCTATCATAATAATAATGTAAGATCCTTACACTCATACATTGACTTCACTATGTGAGGCATTACCTCCACTTAGATAAGTTATATGGGTACAGCTGTAGTACATGTAATTACAGTATTAATGTGCTGCAGTTAAGGGTATAACCCTTAATAAAAAAATTTCAAAAAAATATTCCAAATTTGCTTAATTTTGTGCAATCTTAAGATTTAAGTTTTACAGAGCAAAAGGTCTGCCAAAGAGGTTTCATCTGAATGGTAACACCACAAGATTTTGCCCAGATTTAAAAGATAGAATGACAAATCATCTCACCCTTGATAACTCAGTCATGTTGTCAGTTGGGTTCATTGCTGTCAAGGGCAGTGACGGATCCAGCCCCTGAGATAAGTGGGGGGCCAGGTCTCAAAAAATACTTTTTTCAGTCTTCGGGCCTCAGTTTGGTCTAAAAATAAGGCGTGTGGAGGGGGGCAGGTCCCCCAGGCCCCTCCCTCGGATCCACCACTGAAGGGAGTGGCCCAGGGAGGGGGCAACTTGAATAATTGTCCAATGTTAGGGTTGTCGCCACTCAAAGGTTCATTTTAAATAATATATATACCTTCCCTGTAAATAGAACCATAACCCATGTTTTTGAACCCAGTTTAAAACAAAGGACAAAATGTTCAGTTGTTTCTTTACCAAAAATCATGGCCTTGTTTAGGACAAGCTCATGTAATTGAATACACTTTGCGGGATAAAAAGAGGCCACTGGCCACACCCTGTCCAGTGCACCATACGGAAGTGCCCATCCCTGAGGTGGGAAATTCTAGAAATCAGAGAGATTTCATCAGACACTAAAGGTGGGTCAGCCCAGTTTAGGACATGCTTCTTTAAAGAATATGGTTTTCCCTAAGTGACAAAAAACATGACACTCACGTTCTCTCTTCCAGCCATAATGAGTTATTTGGGCGTGGTGCAGGAGCAGGTTTTCCGACCTTTGTAGCAGCATCTGTTCCATAAAGAAACCCTGAGGGTCTGCTTGCCTCTTCTTTGAGTTGCGCTTGACGAAGGACCTCATCTGTGCCATAAATCATTCTATTGCTTGCTGAACCACCCGGAATCTAAAAAAGGAGATAATTTTTTAACTCATATTTAGTATTATCATATGCTCCATTTTTGAGAGTGAAACAATTAAAGCAAGCAAAAAACTACAGGAATGGAGAAGGGGAGATGCTGTAAGCATCTTTTGAAATACCTCAGCCCACCCACTACCCCCCCCCCCCCCCCCCCCCCACGAAAACAAATTTGCCAATCTCCAGAAAAAAAGATTTTACTTAAAGCTACTTTATGAATTAAAAAAACAAGAGAAAAAATTTTTTATACAAAGGTCTTGATATATTTTAAAAAAAGAGGGATGGTTTTTTATGGGGTATGAGATAATATTAAGAAAATATTCTGTTTATTGTGAGAACCCCCCCCCCCCCCCCCCCACCTCCAGAAAAATCGTTTGTCCACATTCGAGAAAAAGGAATATTTCGGAAGCATGATTCAGGATTTAAAACAACCAAGGTAAAATTTGTTAGTACAGATCACTGGATTACTCTGAAAAACCATTGTGTATTATTTTAGGGGGTTCGAAATATCATGAAATAAATTCCTTCTGTACAGGGATGCCAGGAACAAACTCTCTTCAAAATTAAAGCCAGTGGTAACCAATCACTGGAGTTTTTTGTAAACACTGCTTGGGGAGTTAGAAGAAAGTGGTTCTACATACCCGTCCTTGTACAAAATGTTGCTTCTTAGTGAACCTATCATTCAGGGGTCTTGAATCATTTGAGGAAGACACTGCTAGCTCAAACCCTTTACTGTGTGTATTTTGTAAATGATAATTCTTGCTTAACGGCCGGTAAGTGTCCTGCATGGAGAAAGGGACTGCTCTCTGCGGCTCCTTTGGGAACACTGTAAGTATAAATAGACCAGCTTACAAGAATGTTGACTTTTGAGCTTGGGTTGCTTGTTCACTCAAATCAGACCATACTGTAAACTGCCACTTACAAGCCCTGCAGGGCTTATACATCTTTGTAAGGGTTTCTGGGAGGGCTCAACCCTTTAAGCCCTAAGAGTGATCAGCATCAAATTTCTCCTTGAAATATCAATACTTTGTAAAACAGAGTGGTCATGAGAATTATGGACATGATCACACCAGATGAATTTGCTTGATATCTTATCAACTTCTCCCCACTGCTTCTGTAGGAAATGAATAGGGGCAACAAACGAGAATTGATCTTAGGTTTTAAAGGGTTAAAAATGGAGGGAATTATATCCAAGGAGGTTTATAACCGTAATAGAATAATGCTGATCAAAATATGTTTGTACTAATTTCTGATTTTCAAGTGAGCTTCAAAATGTCATAATAAATAATTAAATTCATTTCAATACATTTGAAGGGAAGCTTGTATCCAGGGGGCTTAATATGTTTACAGGTAAATGGGCCTATAATGGGAGGGGGCTTATACAGTGTAATTGGCAGTTTACAATATGAGTGGAGGTGAGTACCCCTGTAGGAAATGGACAGGGATGTCAGTGTGAATCAAACCCTAGATAAGAGCAGCCTGGGTGTGGCACAGATTTTAAATGTATTTGACTCCTGAGAGACCACACTAAAAAGAAAAAAAAATAATGATGATGTTGACATCAAAATGCTCTCTTCAACTTCACAGTATGACAGCATTATTAAATCTAATCTATCATCACACACAGCATTTCATCATATTTTATTTACCATTTCATCTTATTCTTATGTCCTATACATCAAGCAGTTACATGCATACAGAGCCTTAAACTCCACTTTTTACATCTCCTTTTATAACACTTATTAAAATATCACCAGTATTCCTGGAGGTGCAATTACATTAAATTTATAAGAACACAATAATTAAAGCAGCTAGTACTCTTATCGCTCTAGTGCAGAAAGTGAGAGGCTTCAGCCTGCCCAGTCTGTGCAACAGAACAGGGGGAACGTGACATGTGGTGCATACTTCTAAACAGTCATCTTACCAGTGCTTTTATTGCTTGGGTCTGAGCCATAAACAAGCCCGCCTCCACCTGCACCACCGGTGACTTTGCCACTATCAAACCACTGAGTTTTGTGATGATGATAGCCTTGCTGAAACTTGACCGGGTTTGCAGCATCCCTGTAAGGGGTCGATCGCCCACAGGCTATTTTAATTTTTCTCTTTCAAAATCAAAACTTGTTGTGTCAAGTTTTTCCTCTCAACAAATCATGGATAATCTCAACGAGAACATATTTGGCAAAACAGGTAAAACTCCCTGACTATTTTCTCACATACACCAATTTTATAAATTTAACGTCAATGTGCTAAAGTATATGGTTGGCAAGAGTTTGTCAACATCTTATACAGTGTAACAGTCTACAAAACAACACTTCTTTCAGTTTTGAGGTAATGTAACAAAACACAAACTCTTTTTTCTTGAGCTGGGCAAGTATACCTTCAGTTCCTGTTTCAACACCGCCCACAAATTTATTTAAAGAAAGAAATCGAGGATGAACCTGACCAAAGGCCAAAACTTACCATTTTCCCATTTTTGACTTGGGGGAGGGTGGGGGTCTAAATTTTACTTTATTTTGTCCAAGATTGCAATCATGGTCACAACAAAATGGAACAGCAAAAACCCTAACACCCCAAAATCAAGGTGAAGCTGCGTGACAACCAAAACACACCATTTTCCAATTTTTGACTTGTTGTGAGGGGGGTCTAAGTTTTCCATTTACTTTGTCCAAGATTGTGGCTGTAGATCTAGCCTTTTACAATTCCACAAATATGGTGTGAAGACAATGCTTTCAGTATTTTTAGAACAGCTGATCAGAACTGTTGTTCTTTCTTGGACATAGTGTTATTCTGCGCACTCTATGCACATGTATAAAACAGGTTAAAACCCTGAGAACACCACTTGAACCTCTTGATCAACCACTTCTTTAGTAGTATTAAATCAAAGCGTGTACTAAATCAAAGTCGTCTCCGAACAGATCTTCGTCAACATGGCCAAGGAATGGGTTTTTAATTATACATCAGCAGTCCGGGTCACTTCTCGTTTAATTACATGACAACGATTATAGTAAAAGAAGACTTCGTCAGAAATTCCCTTCCAATCAAACAGCTATAAACAAAGCCATGCTTGAAAACGACTGTTTAACCGCGTGTACTGTTGTGAGAGAGGAATTATATAAAGGCATACGCGGTTTTCTTTACACAAGCTTACATTCTTTGCATTAAAGATTATAGTACTCGATCATCCAGCGATCGCTGAGGCTCTTAAGGAACTTCAGTCTAATATATTATTAATGTAACAACTGTAAGCAATTCTAAAGTCATGTTGACACAGAAACGAACAAATAATCACAAAAGATCTGCGATGGCCAGTCGAATCTGTGTTGTCGCGGGAGACTAGACATTTTACGCGCCTAAATCGCAGATTTTTTGTAAGAAGAAACAAAAATGCCCTTTGAAGTTCGTTAAGTAAATCAGATAAGAGAATTCTCACTTACATTTGATGCTGAAAAGTAAATTGATGAATTCCTTACACGATCGCATAGAACGAGACCATCTTACTTCATCGACTCTTACGTTGCTATAGCAACATGTGAAAAGGATAAGCCCCGCGGCACAACAAGCGAAAACAAGAAATGCAGAAAATATGTAAACTATCTTGTTTGCGGTTTAACATTTCCTTCAATTATAGATCTGGGTCTGAGAAGGAAAAAGGGATAATGGGTTTTTGTTGCATTTATAAGCTGATTGATTTCATAGCTGCAACACTGCTAAGAATATCTATAAAATACAATTTGTGCGGTTTTTTTTTTAAATTACTGGATGAATGGATTTTTCAAACTCAGTGAAAAGAAACTAATGAGGCGATGACGCTCCTTTTTTTCGCTTGACAGATGATAAGATACGTAATTTACCTTCGTCTGTTAACAGTGTGCTATATTGGGTCTTGATTGTGCATAGCCTGCGACAATTAACCCACGCCCTTGAGCCGCCCGTAACCGTCCCGTGCGAATCCACCTCTTTTCTACCGCTTGTGACGTCATCAGTTTTAATAGTCAAGGATCACTTTGTCCGCTAACTTGTACAGAGTGAAGAGATCTTTCAAACCATACAAGAATGAGCACAATTCAGTCAAGGACACCGGAGAAAAAGGCAGAATACCAGGTAACATTGACCATGAAAATCTTGTTCCACTTCCCACCTACCTTTGCTTTCAACTAATGCCAAGATCCTAAAAGCTCTCCTAAAAACTTTTCCTACGAATCTGAAGCCTACTAAATGCCCCGCAAGAGAGAAAAAATAAGGCAAGGAAAGCGAAGAAAGAGGGGAGGAGAGAAAGCAAAAAGTAAAAGTCAAGACTACTGTGTCACTTTTAACTCCCCATCTTCTTCTTCTTCTTCTTCTTCTTCTTCTTCTTCTTCTTCTTCTTCTTCTTCTTCTTCTTCTTCTTCTTCTTCTTCTTCTTAAGACAGTCTATACAGCTTCTCTTCTCTGACGGATCACGGGGCAGGTTACCCCTCTTCTGACTGGCGGTTCACACCCACTAAGTTTAGAACTGGCATTGTCTCTACTAATTCGTTTTCGGAGTAAAAGTTTCGTCAGATAAACAAAAATGATTTTGAGAAGCAAATATTAATTTCTCTCCGCAGAAACAAAGTGACACTTTCTGCATCATGGATCCAGAAATCAAAAACCGTCATTCACAAGACGTTAGCTGGATTTCACAACATTTTCTTGCGTTCAGCTAGCTAGGAAGCAAACTAGTTACCGTCCGAAAGATTACATTTCTCGGACTGATCACTTTATATTCCGGGTCCACAACAATGTTGCCAAACTTTCAAAAAGGCTGTAAAAACACAGGTAAAAAGGCTGGATAAAAATAAAGGCTGGCCCAGAATCCATGGACAATCCTAGATAAGCAGCCACACCTTTACCCTTCTCTAGTAAAAGTCAATAAAATTCAGAATAAAACAAAGAGTACCATGAACGGAGTTGACGTGGAATAACGATTTTCTGTCCTGATTGAAGCTCCAAGGATCTCTGTATTTCCAAGGCTTTAGAGTATGAGTTGACACGGGGCAAAACACAGAGGAACGGAAGGACTCTCCCTGCAGATAAAATAAATTAGTTAAATATTGGGTCTCCCTTTTTAAAGCATTGAGAAGCCGAGTTGGCTTTTCGCAACATAGAAGTGATGAGGTCCATGAAGTAACAATGCCATACGAGAGCAACCAATCGGCTTAGAGCGCGAGCGCGCGAGCTGAAAATCAAATTGGACGACAAATCAAGCAATCTAAAACCGGGCGCTCTCTACTCTTTTAATATATAGATTTAGCCAGGGCTAAAAGCGAAGCTCTCTTAATATTAATAGTTTCCTTAAAGAAAATATAAATCGAGTGATACTAGAGACAAGGTGAAGACATCGAAAATGGTAAAAAAGAATAACAATAGATCGAATTAGCAAAAAAACAACTTTGAATGTGCAGCACACTTTTTTTTTACTAATTATCCTAATTAGCAAACAAAAACAACTTTGCACGTGCAGCACACTTTTTTTTTACCAATTAGCAAAAAAACAACTTTGCGCGTGCACCACACTTTTTTGTACATTTCCCTGCCTTTGTTTTGCACGACTAAGGCCCGGTTCAAACGTCGAATTTC